GTCTTGTTTAACCTGTGTGGTATAGCCCGAATGCCCTTGGAAATGAATTTTCTTCATAAAGCTCATGACACATTTCCTATGTTAGTTTCCTGAGATGTGAAATTGAGTCTTGGACACTTTTAAGTAATGTTGGGCAATCACCACCCACTTACTCCCCAAATCTATGACATTAAGCAGATTCCAGCCCGGGGAAATTGTGAGGTGAGCAGGGTCAAGCTCAAAGAACCCCTCGGGAATAGCTTACATACTTTGGACATGTCGGGAAAGACCAGTTCCTGGGGAAGACGATCATGCTTGGTAAAGTGGAGTGAGAAAAGAGGAAGGGCCTCAATGCGATGGATTGACACAGTGGGGCAACCATAGGCTCACGTGTAGGAACAATTATGAGGATGTGCAGGGCCAGGCAGTGTTCCATTTTGCAGTGCCTAAGCAGGCATTGTCTCTTCAATCTCTCCTTAGTAATGCAGCTTCCAATTGCATACTGGAAACCAAGTCTTTTCTGACCCTATCCTTACTGTTAGGTGCAGAAGAATCCATTCTGACTGATGGCAATTCCATCCCTGGGGAATAAATAGCTCTGCACCAGAGGGTTTTCAAGGCTCGAAGCTTTCTGGAACAGATCACTGGGCCTGTTTTATGAGGTGCCTCTGTGCAGACTTGAACACCCAACCTTCCCGCTACTGTTGTTAGTCACTAAGTCGATTCTAGCCCATATCGCTATGACCAAGCCCTTTTGTGTGTAAGGCAAGGGGGCAGCTGAAAAGGTTAGAAATGCCTTACAGACCGTGCAAACTAGCAGTCACAGAACCAGGACAAGTACAAGGTCACCACAGAGGTCAGTTTTCTGTTGTTTGCACCCAATGGCTGTCTCCTTAACCCCCTCACAACCTTCTTAGAATCCCCTTCTTCAGTGACACATGGAAATAGGGACTAAGGGGGGCTAGATTAAAATGACTGCCAGGGCTTCGACAATTTACGCACATCTGGTTTCTATAAAACTGTTTATTCCCCCTCCCTCATCCTCAAGACCAGTTTATTTCTTGTTTTGGATGTGCGTTTTTGGTTTGTTTTGTTTTTATTCAGGTGTTTTGAAATCAGTCCATTATACCTACAGTTGTATGGAGTGCATCAATGAGAGCTTGTAGAACTTTTCGGCACTGATGTATCTCTTATTTTGAAAAGAGGTCACGTTTATAAAAACTTAAGGACCCCTGCTTTTATTGACCAAGACAATGCCCCATTTGGAGCGAGCTGGTCCCCCACAGGAGGAGCAAGAACATGGTGACAGGGACAGAATAAGAGAAAAACAATAGTCCTTATGAGATCTTTTTTCATTGTTTAACTTTATTACTGTTGCACCATTTATACAATTACATATAATTTCAATGCATCCATTGTACATTTTTTTGTGTTTTTTAATTTTTTTTCTCCATTTTCCAATGAGCGGTGTGTGGGTTTTCTCGGACACAGAATGGAAGAGAAACTAGAACTGCAATGAACGCAGACTTGGCTGTTTTTTTGTTGGTTTTTTTGTTGTTGTTTTTCATTTCCACTGACCAATAAAACAGAACTACAGGTGCACCCAACCACGGACATGCATTAACTCGTCATGAGAAATCTAGGTAGGCTAAGTAGGATGAGAGAATGTTTGTTACTCCCAAAAACATCTGGAGAGGAAGAGAATGGGGGCAGGGAGAGGGGGTGGCATGGAGATACATGTGGACAAGCTAAGTGGGCTCAGTCTGAAAGTTGGCATTCATCCAGGACATTTAAAAAATATCAAAATAAGAAAGGCTGTAAATTAAAAAAAAAACAACACAGAAAATACTGCTTTCCTAGAGATCTGATTGCCTTGGCACAGGCCCCATGGGCAGAATCAAACACGCAGCTCCCGACCCCCGCTGGGGAAGAGAAGAGAGGTGCTTGGATCTTAGCGGGTGGGGCATGGGTCAGCAGTTAGGTACAAAAGATGTACGACACTTTCAGACGTTTATCTTTAAAATCCAAGACGGATTGAAGGTATATTAGATATTTCCCCACAAAAATACGATTTGGATTCTCCCCACCCCCTCCCTCCCTTAATGGGACCAACATTCTTCTTTTTATTTAACCTCCCCTTTGGGCAATACATATCATTACTTCTGATCAATTTGAAACAAGTTGGTAGAGCAGAGAGAGAGAGAGAGAAGAGAGAGAGAGAGAGAGAGAGAGAGAGAGAGAGAGAACAGGTTGCTTCTGTAAGTGGTATGCTTTTTCTCCATAGGCTGTCCTTCTTACTCTTTCACTGCTACGGTTTGATCCGAATTAGCTGCCGGGGTCTCAGCAGGTTTGGCGTCTTCTGCTGGGGCTGCAGGTGCCTGGGCCTTGGGGGTCGAACTGGGCACTTCCGTCGCGGCGGGGGTCTCCTTGGAAGGGGGCGCAGCCTCAGTGCTGCTGGGTTTTGAGTCTGACGCTGGGGCCCCTTCGCTTCTCGTTTCCTGGGCGGCTGGAGCTGCGGGAGCCTCAGTCTTTTTGGGTTCCCCTTCCTCCGTGCCCTTGTCATCCGCTTTAGTGGGTGCTGTGGGCTCAGGCTGGGCCTCGGCACTGGCTTCGGGTGCTGTGGCGGCCTCCCCGCTGGCGGCAGGGGCCGGAGCCGAGGCCTGCTCAGGCTCTGTATCCTTCTGGGGCTCAGGCTTTGCCTCGGCTCCCCCCTCGGTCTTCTCGGGCTCGGCCTTTGGGGCTTCTTCTTTTGCCCCGGCCCTGTCTTTGTCACCTTCCTTCTCTTCGGGCTTGTTCGCGGGGTCCTGAGCATCTTTCTCGGCCTTCTCCTTCACCTCGGTGGTCTCCGCCGCCCCCTGGGTCTCATTTTCCTTCGGGGTGGCTTCCTCTTCGGTCCCTGTCCCCTCAGCCTTCTTGTCTTTGTCCTTGGCCTTCTCGTCGTTCACGTTGTACCCCTTCTTCTTCTTGCTCAGCTTACCTCCCATCTTGGAGTTCTGGAAGGAAACACAAGGCAGCAGAGAGGTGAGAGGGCATGCCTGCACACATGAAGAACAGACAACAAGTCTGGTGGGCGGCAGCCCCCCACGCACGCACTCAAGGCCCCTGAGAAAATGGGGGTGCGGCCAGTGCTGTCTCCCATTGACAGCCGTCACGTCGACAAAGAAAATAAAATGTCATTTTAAAGGGAGGACTCAAGGAGGCCGCAGGGGGGGAAATGAAAGACTTCAGAGCTCCTAGCTGAAATCAGACGTGGCAGTTAGAGCGAGCCTGTCCAGGGGGGTGTGCAGGCGGGCCTGCCTCCCATCTCTAGTCTCCATCTCGCCCGTCCAAGCTCCACATGCTGGACCCTCACATACAAAATGGCAGCAGCAGCCATCTTACATCTAGACTAGTGTAGCTAGGCAGCTCGGCTGCCTCATTGTACAATCTTGTATAGAGAAACGGCACAGCAGGGATGCAGCACAAATCGCAACTTCCTAGAGCCCGAGGCACCAAAGACAGGCCGTTCTCAAGCGCTGGGATTGATACGGGTGGCCGTAGAAGCGAAAGCCTGGTAAAGACCAGTCTAAAGACGCAGGAGCAGTTAACAAAGAGCACAGCGTCCTGCCACACGTAGCTCCTCAGGTGCATCTGATGGGTGCTTTCTCTCTTTCTCGCTCTCATTTCTTAATGGGTTTTCAGTTTTTAAAACACTCCATAGGAAAATAAAAATCCTCTCTACGGCCATCATCCTGATGAGAATGCAAGCTCCCTCGACAAGTTCAGGGGTCACCCGGCGGTGTTTTTCACTCAAAAGGAAGCCTCCAGCCAGACTCCCTCGCTGCTGCTGCTGCCCCCGTGATTCTGGCTTCCGGAGCTTAGTATATTTGGATTTTTCTCCTCCAGGCACAAGACTTAACTCCAAGTCAGCCCAGAACACTTGTCAGACCCGGACAGGCACCCCCGACCCTCCCTCACAGGGTGGGGGGGTGGTTTTATGACACCCTATAGAAGCTGTTGTTTGGTGGAAACCTGGTTGCTTTTCTGTGATAGAGCAAGTTCTCCACGTGGCAGAGATGAACCACCCCCACCACCACCCCACCTCCGGAATAAGCTAAGGTCGGTGGTGATGATAGAGCACGGGTGAGACCACCTGCTTCTATCTCGTCAGAGGCTGCCCTGGTAGGATGGTAAAGCCTTATGGCCTAGACCGTATCTCATAAACCGTAGGCTTAAAGCCCAACCACAAAACAAAACAAACAACCAGCTCACTCACTGGTGGTTTCAGACGGTTTACCTTGTAGTCAGTAGTCCAACATGCCATCATTCCCCAAACAAACAAAAACACACTGCCATTGAGTCAATACTGACTTATAGCGACCCAGTCTATAGGAGAGGGTAGAACTGGCCCTTTGCGCTTTGGAGACTGTAACTGTTTATGAGAGTAGAAAGCCCTGTCTTTCTCCCCAAGGAGATGCTAGTGGTTTCAAACTGCTGACCTTGCAGATCGCAGTCCAAGGCATAACCACTTCGCCAATAGGGTCCCTATGTTATCACTATAGCACCTATACATGTGACCCTGTTTCAAATGCTGGTCCCATCATTGCCATCCTTATCAAGGGCCGTGAAGTACCCTTCCATTTATCTGATTCAAAAGTTGGGGGCTGGGTTAAGAGAGCAGTAGTCTTTAAAGTAAAAAAAAAAAAAAGTCATTCCTCATTATGCCAATGCCCTTTCTGGACCAGTTTTACTAACGGAGTGAGAAAAAGGAATCCACTGAAAGCTAATCCGGTTCTGATGCCCCAGGTGGGAGAAAGACTGGGCTTGTGACTCCCATGACAGCAGGGCTCTCAGCAACTCACAGGCACCATTCTACCCTGTCCTCAGAGCGCACCACGAGTCTGCATAGACTCAATGGTAGAGTTCGGTTGGTTGACTGTTTTTATTCCTTCTATGGCATCACCGAAGAAATGTTATAGGCCTTAATAAAAAAATAGAAATTTAAAAATGAGTAAAATTTTTTCTTATCATAGTTCATGTCAGACCAGGACTGGGTTCCATGGGCCATAATTTTGGGACCTTTCTCCCTTAAGGAGTGAAATCAAGCATTTACGGTGTCAAGACAATCACACATACTCTTGTTTCATAAGAATTCACAATAAACAAAAATAAAGGAATGAAACCAAATAGTTTTAAATTACAATTTATAACTCTTTGATTGAATTTTTATTGGCTGGCATGTATACATGGTCTAGAATAAAGATAAACCATGCCTGATATTTCAAGAAATATTTTGGGGCAACAGGTTGCGCTAAAAAATAGGAGGGGGGAAAGGCAGGTTGGCCATTACAATCTTCTTCCAATTCGCTAACAGAACCATTTAAAATGACAGAAGGGAAAACTGGGTATGAATTTGGTGTTAGCGGAGCCTACAGGGCACAGAACATCACGCTGGGCCACACCAGGCAGGACGGTTTAGAGCTCGCCAGCCGAACACCAAAGTTGTTCAAATGGATTTCTGAAACACAGCTGCAGCCTCATTCCCCTCACTGTTTCAAGACCTGCTGCAATTCGTTTCTGGGCAGAGAGCGGGCAGGCTCGTTCTCAACACGTATTTGCTGACGAAGACGCAACTACACCAAGTGACGAAGACCCTTGGACGTTCACTAGTTTGCAGTGTCTGTCATCTGGAGGGATCAAGAGAGGGATCGAGACTGCTCTAGAGCAGTGGTTCTCAACCTTCCTCATGCTGTGATCCCCTCACACAGTTCCTCCGGTGGTGGTGACCACAACCATACAATTATTTTCATTGCTACTTCATAGCTGTCATTTTGCTACTGTTATGAGTCGAGCGACCTCTGTGAAAGGGTCATTCGACCCCCCAAAGGGGTCGC